GATTGTGAAATAAATTTTGTTAGATTACTAAATTCATGATCTATCTGTTAGTGTAATTAGTTCGTATAGTTCAGTGATACCTTTAGGGTTACTTTATTATTTTGAAATGCTTATTATGGTTATTTAGAGAATGAATTTTTATGATGCATGGTAGCTAGTGCACCTTGTTTTATTATTTATATAGTAAATTGATATTAACAATAAGGATGTCTTTAGTTGCTAAGATAATACATGAAATGTTTCATACTTGTTTAGTGGGAATAATAGGTAACTTTGCGTATTAGTCATTAGAGTTAGCTTAGTAGCTTGGTAGATGTATTCTTATTTTAAGAGTTGCGGTTGCCTATATATTAATTATTGCATCATCATCATTTGCATGCATATAGAGGACGAGCCACTCGGAGATCGTGACCTTGGCGAAAGGTGAGTACGACGAAGTCATCGAAGAATCTACGAGGAGATCTCGTGCGGAGGACGTTCCGGAGCCACCAAATCATCGACTTTCTTTGACACCGCGCTTTGCCCAAGGCAAGCCCCTGCATAACCCTATTTTTAAATGATCTGAATATATTTATATGATATGCATTTACGTTCTGGGCATTTTATGGAAGCTACATGCATAAATATATCCACCATGAGTCCTACTAGTATAGGTCGAGTAGTTGCTATGCTCGGGGATGTCGGTAGCGTGAGTAACTGTCGTTACTCGCAAATAGGTGTTTAAACTATGATATCATGATGAAATAATGGAAAGGAAAATGGTGACCGGACACGGGATGTGGATTTGGTACTGTGGTGGGTGTGAGGGTTGTGTCCTGCGGCCAACAGGGCATAGCCCGGTTACACTTTTTCCCTGCCTTTGTCGATTAAGGACCGGTCGTTGCATATGACTCTAGGCAAGTCACAGATTATTGTCCCGAGCACATACTTAGGTATGGGCGCAGGGAAGGCTTGTTGCTCTCTTGTCGCGGATCCGGCTCTTTCCTAATCGGTGATGGGAAGAGGAGGTGGTGGAGGTCCTTGCACCGCACCCGAGTCCGGGACTCGTGGATGTGGGGGCTTGAGTCCAAGTTTGGACGGGGACACGGACACCCGGGACGGAGAGTGGTGGGTTAGTCCTGCTTGTGCACAGGGGTACAAGCGGGCGTGTCTTCGGGGCACCTAGTGGGGCACATTGATTCGTGAATCGCCGGGTTATCCTAAGACGCTTTGTCATGCGGTTTAGCACCGTAGTAAGAACCGAAAGTTGAAAGGAGAAGAAATGGAACCGATTGCTCAACTCTTGCTTGAAAGTAGAATAGGCTTATATAGATTGACTAGATGAAAACTTAATACGGTGATGATAATAATGTATCAATAAGGACTCACTATTAGTATTGCTTTTTGCTAAAAGAGAACCAAAGAAACCATAAAGCCTAGCATATTCCTTGGAGTCGGGAAAGTATTCCCACCGTCGTCGATAAGTCTTGCAGTACATTGTGTACTCGGGGTTTATTTACCCCTATTGCGGTGGCGCTTGAGGAGTTCCTTGTGTGGAGGATCCATCTGGTGGGCTCTGCATTTTAATCCTCATTATCTTATCGCTAGATGTTATCTTTTAATATTCCGTTGTTTATCATTTCGCACTCTATATTTGGTATTGTAATAATGTACTTTTCAAGAAACTCTAATGTATGAGATAGACTTGTGTTGTAACTCGTTTTCATTATTGGATCCTTGGGAAAAATGTGGATCTTTCGGGTTCTCCCTTGGGGTGTGCTCGACGGACACCGCTCGCTGTAGTTACTTTCGAGGTGCTTTGTGTCTGATGGAAGACAAGCGCCTTCGTAAGTACGCTATTTCGTAAGTACGCTATTTCGCTGTTGGCCAGTAGAAACCTTGGCGGAAGGCGTTTCCCACTAGCGCCCGAGGCGCTGCGTGGTGCCCGCAGACTCCCGCATGCAAGTCCTAGAGTAGTGATTGGCCAGCCTCGATGGTGATGCACCGTTGGAGAATACCAGACGGGCTACGCCTATACAACTCGCCGTTGTAGAGGACGTAAGTTTTGGCTCGTCGCGCAAGCCGTCGGGCCTCGGTCCTGTCCGCGGGAAGCTCTCCTCGCACGAGGTGATCAAGAAAAGGGACTCGCCAGTCCATTCCTCGGTCGGCCTCCGTGGTAGAAGGCTCGGGCATCGCTCGGACCAGTATCGCCGCCGCAGCGACGTTCTGGCTAGCGCGATTGAAGACAGGGGGTTGCTCGCCCCCCCTCATCATCGTTAATGCGGCGGTTGACGTCACGAGCCCTCAGTCGGGCCGTTCCGCCATCGCCGCGCCCCGCTGCTCTTGCTCGAGGGTGGCTCGGAGCTGCTGTAGGAGGAGTCGATCTTGCTCGACCTTGGTTTGAAGCTCACGGAGCTGCTCTAGGTCTATGCGTCGAAGTTGCTCGGGGGTGGGGACACCTGCCGCCGCTGGTGGGGACCCTGTGCGTGGTGGTGTGGCGTTGGCTGCCCTTCCTCCATCGTTGCCCGTGCTCGGCATTCCGAGTCCGATGTGGAAACACTCACGAGTCAGGTCGTAAGCGTCCTCGTCGTCGGAATCAGAGTAGCCGAAGCAGTAGTCGCTCGTGATCATGAAGCGGCGCATCGCCTCAGGGTCGCGAAGCCCGGAGAAGTCTGCTCCAACCCACGCCTCGTCCTCCTCCGAGGAGTCAGAGTGGGGGTGGATTGGAGTTGTGACTATGGGGTTATGGGCATGACGTTGATGAATGGAGACGAGGGTGGTGGCGTAGGAGGCGGCGACATTGGTCAGCCCGAAAGGGTACAGGGATGGCACCGTCGCCAGGCTCGGCTCCGCCAGAGCTGGCTCCTCGGGAGGAGACGGGACAGAGCTTGATGATGGGGCGTCGCTGTGCGCCACCGGCCCTTTTCCCCTATCGAGGCTTAAGCCGGACAGGTCCCCGTGCAGGGACTCCGTGCCAGCAGCAGGGTATGGGATTCCGGTGGAGCACAGATCGGCGTTCTATACTTGCGCGGTGTTAGGGTGGACTCGCTCGCGCGGCGCTTGGTGAGCTTGATGGGAGCGGCGGCCCGGACGCCGCCCGCGCGTGGGCTGCCGGTGCATGACGTCGTTGTCGGTTGATGGCGCTCTGGGTGAGAGGAGCACCATGTCGTACTCGTGCCCTAGAGACAAGAATTCTAGGCTCCCAAACCAGACGATCGTCCCGAGACGCAACGATCGCACGGGATCTGCCATCCGAAATCTGGTGGGATGACTAAGCTGACACGCAGAGGCCCCTACCTGGCGCGCCAACTGTCGGCGTTTCGGAACCGGGGGTCCTTAACCGACTAGTGAATTTGTGCTGCGTGCTCCCAATTCTGGATGGTGATGCAAAGAGACAAAAGGTTTATACTGGTTCGGGCAATGGATGCCCTACGTCCAGTCTGAGAAGATGTTCTTGTATTCCTTGCACCGGGGTGCTCGTAGTAGGGGGTTACAAGCTGGGCCAGAGAGAGGAAGTTCGTCCCAGATCTCTGTGAGAGGAGGTGATATGAATTACGGAATGAGGCGTGTTGTTCGTGCGAGTATTCGTGACTCTATCCGCCGTCCCTAGAAACGGTCCTAGCCGCCTCCTTTTATAGCCGCAGGGAGGAAACCAGGAGTACATAAGAGAGCTACACGTGGAGCGGACTATTCGATGATGTATTTACTCCTGGAGCAGCATGGCGTTGTCGTGGGAGTTCCCGTAGATGTCTAATCGGTATGGTCTCCACTATAAGTAACATGCTGCGCATTTGTTGGCTTGGTGGATTGCAGAAGCTCGGCGGCCATCATAGTCGGTCGTGCCGAGGCCTGTTGTGCCGAGGCTCATTATCAGCCGAGGCTCCGCCGTGTCGAGGCTGAGAAGTGACCCAGTGCGTATCACGGTCTCGGCGGCCATCGGTGAAACAAAGACGAGACGGCGCCCTACGAGGATCTGATACACTGTGTTGTCGATGGGGATGGTAAAAAGGTGATCTCGACCGCTGTCCCGTCGCTCTGTTGCGGCCGCTTGCCGCCGATCGTGGCTTACGTGGCGGGTGCGGTGAGCGCGTGTCGGATCTGACGACTGCCAGAGAGACCTTTGAGGCGGAGGCGGCGAGGTTGCGGGATTTGAGCCCGGCCTCGGCGAGGCGGCGGAGCGCGACCAATTCGTCCGAGGCCCTACCGGGGGGGTCTCGGGCGAGGCGGAGAAAGATCAGTGAATCCGAGGCCCCGTCGAGGGGGCTCGGGCGAGACGGAGCGGTCGGTCCGGCTGATTCCGAGGCTACAGAACCCGCTTCGACTCCCCACGTTATGGCGTCTTTGGTGCGGAGTTAGGCGGCCTGAAGGTGGTAACCCCGCTCTGCGCCGTCGCAGATGGCGGGGAGGTTGACGCGACCGGCGTGTAGTCGATCACTACCATCTTGTGCCATCGTAAGTCTGTCGGAGTGGTTGGGCGCTTGGATGCGACGTTGCTCGGTAGCGAGTTCGGTCGAAGAGGCGGTCACGGGGCTGGTCCCGAGCCGGCCTCGCGCGAATCGGAGAATCGGTACTTCTTCCGAGGCCCCGGGCGAGGGGGGCTCGACGAGGGGCCTCTCGGGGCGGTCTCAAGCAGTCGGAGAATCGCTTTGCTTCATTTGGGAGCTCGGCGACGGGTCTCGGGCGAATCGGAGATTTCGGCCGAGACCTCGTTTGTTTATTCCGTTGGTTCTGTTTTTAGGGTCTACGCAGTTTTTCGATCTTTGCTTGGGGTACCCCATTTTCTGGTATCCGACACCAGGTTTAAAAAAGTACTCTTCCTCTTGCATCACGAGACCATATGGTACCATATATATACAGGTGATCATGCTACTCTTGTTCGCATAGTTAATTGCTATAAAAATAAAATACATATATACTAACAGGAGTGAATACTAACAAACATTAGAATCTTCACTTGGACGAAGGTAGAACATTATCTATAATTAGTTGTTGCAAATATGGCACATTGATGTAGAAGGCAGCTAGTCCAGTAGGTTCACAGGCAGTCGGTATTTTCCCTTCTTCTCAATCACACTGGGACCATGGAAAATAATCTCTGGAAAGATCAAGGAAGTAGAAGTTTTATCTTGTTGCCTGGTCCTAAAGATGAAAAACAAAAACTACATTGTAAATGATTGCTGAAAAAGAACGATTACAGAATTAAAAACAAGGCATATACAAAACATTGATCAATATTTGGTCACCTTACTTTGCACCTTTTTCTTTCATCAAAATAGTCTTCCAATCAATTTCATTTGATGGACTAGTCAACCATTGAAAAAGAATCTACCTCCTCAAGATTTAATTCATTGGAACCAATAAACTCAGGGATCCTCTCACCATCAAAGTACTCGATTGCCTTGAGAGTAAACTGAACCGCTTAAATAGCTACCAAAAACTAAAACTGAAATCGACAACCAAAAAATAAAACTGAAATTGACAAAAAGAAACCGAAAACTAAAGTAGACACAATGAAAAGCAAAAAACTGAAACATAATACTAAAACTGAAATTGATAACCAAAAAATAAGACTGAAATTGACAAATAGAAACTACTAAAGTAGACACAATGAAAAACAAAAAAAAATGAAACATGAAACTCAACATTAAAAAATAATATGTCTCCTCAGATTTAATTCATTGGGACCAACAAACTCAAGCATCCTCTCACCATCAAAGTACTCGATTGCCTTGAGAGTAAACTGGACCACTGAAATAGCTACCACAAATTAAAACTAAAATTGACAACAAGAAAATTAAACTGAAATTGACAGAAAAAAGAAAAGAAAACTAAAGTAGACACAATGAAAAGCAAAAAACTAAAACATAATACTAAAACTAAAATTGATAACCAGAAAATAAGACTGAAATTGACAAATAGAAACTAAAAACTAAACTAAAGTAGACAAAATGAAAAAAAAAAACTCACCATTGAAAAATAATCTGCCACCTTAGATTTAATTCATTGGGACCAACAAACTCAGGCAACCTCTCACCATCAAAGTACTCGATGCCTTGAGAACTGAACAACTGCAATAGCTACCAAAAACTAAAACTGAAATTGACAAATAGAAACTAAAAACTAAAGTAGACACAATGAAAACAAAAAACTGAAACATAGTACTGAAACTACCGTTTACTAGAATTGATTCCATGCCGATTGTTCACTATGCCTCGCTATCTCTGGTTATGTAGCGAATTGGGTGCCTGGTTTTGTTCTTTTTTGTGTGTGTGAAAATCCTGACCACAAGCAATCTGTTCCTAAAGCAGTAATGATAGTAGTAGTGAATCTCTTTTTGGCATATCCGCATATGGTAAGCTTCGATTCAATTCTTCCTTATTCACTATTGGTCCTACATACCCATTTATCCATGTGTACTTATCTGTTATTTTTCTATAGACAGTTTAGAACAAATTGCCTGACGATAGTTTCAATAAAACACAATCAATTTGCTTTAGAAGGTCAATGTACAGTGGCGGTTGTCAAATGACATGGTATAAAAAAAATTTGGTAATCCTTTTTATCAAAAAAAAATAAATCGGGTGGTCTTTTTTATTAGATTCTGGGAGGCTCATGTTATCCGTAGTCTTTCAAACTATGTGCACATGCGTAGCACACAGATTAAAACATTCAAATAAGCAGTAATGATTGTTCTATCATTTAAATCTAACATGCCACAAATAGGATAAATAAGTTGCTATAAGATACATCCTAACTAAAACAAATTAGATTGTACAGATATGGTCCTATATATATACATATACATCATGCTAACAATAGAACCCTTCAATGTTGCTTCATCCACATAAGTAGGCGCAAACCCAAAATCGCAAACTCTATGTGTCGCAAATGCAACTTAAAAACATACAGCACGAATGGGGGCAGGAAGGAGCAGTGATAGTGTTTGGGTTGTACTCACATCGGACGTCGATGGAGGAAGCCGCGGTTGGTGGATGGAGGAAGAAGGTGCGATTGAGCTATACGGCGGTTGAAGGAGCTGCGGATGGCCACTGCAGCAGCCACAACCCAGTCGGATGAAAGCCGGGGGAGCAACAATTGGGACTGGTGACTAAGAGAGAGGATACCTTAGAGTACAACCAGAGCACTTGCATCGTCTCAGCCGTCACAAGCTGCCGCCGACTCGTCTTCCGACAGGGACGTAGTGGCGGACCCAACTCAAAAATAGAGGTAGGGCAAACTTCTAGATTGCAAAATTTTGGCTAAAAACAACAAGAAGGATATCATGAATAAAAGTTGTAGATTTGTATATCAAATACCCATGTACGTTTACACATGGACCAGGATCCAGTGCAGTTGCTATAGCGACTGTAACTTTAGCAGTCCCACCATCCTGATCGTCCATAGCGAATCGTAGGGCAAAGCATGAAGCATGGATGGTTTCATCCTATCCACTTTACTAGTCTCGATGCCTATCTTCTCTGCTATTTTGGAGGGAAAATCAGAAGTTTGGCGCCATTTTTTCTGTTTGCTCGGAACGGAGCCGAGGCGATCGCGAGGGAGGCCAGAGAGCGGCCTCGCCATGGAACCTCCGGGGCCGCCTCCGCCATGGGTGCGCCCTGTCGGACCTGCCTTGCCTTCTCCTCCGTCTCTTGTCCCAGCGCCTGCCCCCGCGAAGCATGAAGGCGTCGTCGCGGCTGCTGGCACTGCGCGTGCTGGAGCTGCTGTCCTCCCGCGCTCTCATTCCATCGGTCGTGGAGGCACCAAGGTGTCTGCGCCGGCGCCAAAGAAGACAGGCGCGATGAAGAAAGCCAGTGATGTTCAGCCTCCCCAAGCTCCTCTACGATCTGCAGCAGCACCGAGGACGCCAACGAGTGCTGAAGAAGCCATAGATGCCGTTGCAATGGATGACGTCCAGCAGCTGCTCGAGGAATCGCCTACAAGGTTTGTGCTCGTCTTGTAGTTAGCCTTGTTAGTTATTAGCTTCTCCATAGTTGAAGTTCTACTGCAAATGAGCAAATGTTGTTGGTCATATTCTGAATGCATTATTTATAACTGCAGAGTTGCTGCAATTCCTTTTTGGATCCCACAAATTGGTATGGCATTTAGCAGTTTCGATGAAGCTTGGGACTTTTGGGTTACATATGGTGGCCGGATTGGTTTTGATGTTCGAAAGTGTTACACAAACACAAGTACTCTTAATGGATTGGTAACATCGAGTAGGTTCGTTTGTTCAAATGAGGGTTCTCGGGCTGAAAATAAAAGGTTCTGTGTCAGCAAGCGTAATCGAGCTCATACTAGAACAGGCTGTAAAGTTCGCATGGGCATTACTTTTGAAAGAGAAAATAGGACTTACAAGGTACATGACTTGTTTATTGAGCACAACCACATTCTCCAAACTGCTCAAACTAGTCATTTGATGCCGTCACAGAGAAACATTGGCTTCTATTGGGTGATACAAGTTTTTGTATATGAAATGGAAAAGAGAACCTTCTTATGTGCAAAAGGTTCCCCATTAATCATACTCTCTTTTGTGGATGCAAGGCTGCTGATGGTTGATGCAAGCTTTTGTATATGAAATTAGAAATAGAGAACCTTGGTGTATAGAAAAGGATCTCAGTTTAGCATGTCTTTTGTATATGCAAGCTTTTGTATTAAGCAATCAAATTGCAGCAAACACATGCAGCTTTGTTCTATTTAATTGGATTATAAGATGTATGTATTCTCTTCTCTGCTCTTTATAATTTCTTCTAAAAGAAACAGAGTCTAACAGCAGGACAGCCATGGGGAGGGAAGGAGAAGAAACTATGGCTTTGATCCTAGCCATCCGTGGCTTTTTGAATGGGTCAGATGCAGCTACTGCATATCTTGCAGTAGCAGTTGTAACTGCACTGGATCCAGGTCCGAGATGTCTTGTATTTTTCATCCTTTTTTTTCTTTTATTTAGAGAGAGTTCTTGTTAGGACACTCTCAACTCATTAACTAGTACAGGTAGTTTTTCGTCCTTTCTAAATTCTGAAGAGCACACAAAAAACTAAAGCTTTTGTTCACTAAATTTGCTTTTTTGCGGGCTGACTCTGGAAAACCGGGAGAGAGAAGAGGGGATAGTGGGGCATAAACACAAATACGTATCGTGCAGGCAGGGTACGATGGCTCACTTTGCACCTTGGCCAAGAGGCAGTTGCTCTCTTCGATAGTGACCGCGCGCCGGTCGATCGTCGCTGCCGCGGTTGCCAGCATGCCGCACGCAGGTGCAGCCCGCAGCCGCAGAGGCATGCACCCACCAATAGCGCAGAGGAGGCGCGCCGCCACTGGTCGCAACGCAGGTGCAGGGCTGCCCGCCGAGGGCCGGCGGCCAAGGCACTGCTGGGCTATCGGGAGTCCAGGAGGGAGAGCGTCGCCGCCGCCTACGGTGCGCGACTGCGCGGTGTCGTGCGCCTTCGGGCTTTGCCTCATCGTCGGAGAGCTGCGCCGCTGCCGCTCTCGTCTCGTGTCTCGTCGTCGACCGCATGGAACTGAAAGTCCCGGGGACAGAGCACCGCCGGGGGTCAGGACTTCAGGTCTGGCCAGAGGAGAGCTACCTCGCCCTATAGGTCGGTCGCCTATGCCGACGACGCCGGGTTCGGCGGCCGGCTGCGCTGCCGACGGAAAGGAGGCTGCTGAGCTGCGGTTTTTTTTTTCAGATAGGCCGCACGAAGGCGTGGGACACTATTGGGCCGGGCTCGTCTCGGAGGCGTCGCGCGGTCGTGACCGAGCGCGAACGGTCGCCAACTAAACTTCGCGTTCCCTGTTGGCGCACTAAATGCCGACTACTCTGTCGGCCTTCAACGGGCCGACTGGTGCCGATAGGCCTATTCGGGCCGTAGCCTTTATATGTCAAATTTTTTGTAACAGTGTCTAGATTTGTAATTAATCATTAAAAATATTATTTAAAAAAATCCTCTTTTGATGACATCATTAACCGACGAGATAAAAAAAAAACATCATTAACCAACGAGCGACATCCGATCCTGCTCACGGCCCACTAGTCTGACTACCAGCGTAGGCATTCTTTCCATTTTTGTTGTTGCTAAGGGAGTAACTGAAAATGATTTTTTTTCATCCTAATCCATATCAAGTGCTTGCTTAGCAAGAGATTATCAACGATTCCTTTTATCCTTTACCTGAAGGGAGAGCTCTTCAAAGGCGTGCAGTGCAGGCAGCTAGAAGGAACAGGGGAGCGAGAACAGCGCTCTCTTTCAGTTTCTGGGGCCTGACGCCTGGCCAGCCTAAGTATTTTTAGACCCGGAAGCAAGCTAAAATTTTAGAACTTTTTTATATGAATATGATAATACTACTAGTACTACCCATTGGTAGTATATACACATATATATACAAAATGTTACTAATAAACAGTTAACTAAATGCAAAAGCAATATTCATATAAAATAATTTGTAGGTTATGTTTCACTTGAATTAAGTACGTTCTCATGATCACTCACATTGTGTTTATCCATGTCGATGTGAACATTGTCTTCCATATGGTCCTAATCTTCTGGATTAGCATTAGTTGTTTCCTCCACAGCAACTATCAGCAATGCATCTAGATCTCTCAAAGTGCTTGTATTACTCTTAAGAAAAAAAATTTACGAAGAGCCCTTCTATATGATTCTACCAAATTATCTATTCGTTTTTTCTTCTTTGTTTTGTCGTTGCCAAAAGGATACTTTAATGATGACATGGTACTTAAAATTAAGATAAACAATTAGTAACTACAATTTTACAAAGTAGAGATCATACCAGAAACAATTAGTAAATAAGTTTCAGATTCCTACCTTGCTGGTTGCTGCCGCCTGGCGCCTGCCTTCGATCCTCTCCTCTGCGGCTCTTCTAGAACTGCCGATAAGCAGATTGCCGAACGGGGATTCAGGTTCAGGGAATCACCGAATCAGAGATGAGGGATCACGTCCTGACGTCCACGTGAGAGGTGAGGTGAGATTAGGGCCCTGTGATTTTGATTTGCCGCCGCTATGTTGCTCTTCTGAAATTCTGGAAAGTGAAACACTAGAACGCCGCCGCACGCACAGGAAAGGCCAAAGGCGGAAGGTCGCGACTCGCGAGTGGCGTGCGTGACTCCTGGCGCCGTGATCACGAGATCTAGTGCTGGCGTAGCATATACGTATTATTACTAGTGTATACGTATATGCATAGGTGGGGGCCCATCGGTGGAATGGACCTGGGACGGCCGTCCCTCCCGGCCCGCCCCAGGGCCGGGCCTGACCTCGGCTCAGTGACGCGACGGTACCGCGGCACGCCGCAGGAAGCAAAAGCCTCTGAACCGTCGGTCACTCTCACTCGTGCCTGCCGCTGCGGCGCTCCCTCACCGGTCACCACTGATCCTGACCGGTGACCACCATCAAAATCACCACGAAAACGCATGAAAAGCTGCGTGCGCCAGACCCTTTCCCTCGACACGACACGGGAGGCAGCGCTCCCTGTCACACCCCTGGCCGCGGCGGGTCACCGGCGACGTGAGCGGAACAGCGGGATTTGACGGAACCCTGGCGCCGGCGGGCAAGCCCCTGCCTTGGCGTCGTGTGTATTACTGAATGTCTGAATGAGCGTTCATACAGAGTAATGCAGGCACTTATGCTGCTTACAAATTCTGTCCAGTGGACCCAACTGGTCATACTCTACTATGAAAACGTAAAAGCAACAATGCGTAAATAGAACAGCTTGGCGCCTTCACGCGGGTGTGACACCTCCCCCGGCGCGAGAATCAGCTTGTCCCCAAGCTGGAGCATCAGGAAAACGAGCTTTGACGACGTAGTAGTCTTCCCATGTCGATGTTGATGCTGGTAGCCCTGTCCACTGAATCTTTACCTGAGGGACTGCAGCATTGCCCTTCTTCACCATGCGGCGCTCCAGGACGGCCCGAGGAACCGTTTGTGCAGCGTCGAGATCTGTGAGCACCGGTGTCGTGTCGTAAACAGGGGAGTGATCCGGGGTGTAGGGCTTGAGCTGGGAGATGTGAAACACTGGATGGATATGGGAGTTCTCTGGCAGTTGTAGCTTGTAGGCAACTTGACCAATACGCTGAAGAATGGTATAAGGGCCATAGTACTTGTAAGCCAATTTTGGGAAGGGCCTGTTGGCCACAGATGATTGAGTATAGGGCTGTAGTTTCAGCAGGACCTGATCCCCCACCGTGAACTGAAAATCTGTTCTTTTAGTATCTGCAGTTTGTTTCATCCTATTTTGAGCCTTGGCTAGATGTTCTTGCAGGGACTGAAGATGGAACTTCCTGTTCTGAATGACTTCGGTAACCTCAGGAGTGGTGTCTGGTGTAAGAGTTGGTATGGCACCCAGATTAGCATCATAACCATAGAGGGCTTTGAAAGGTGTACACCCTAGTGATGAGTGCGGTGAGGTGTTGTACCATAACTCGCCAATGATGATGACCAAGATTTCCATGTTGATGGGGAGTCATGAATCGCACATCCGAGATACATCTCAAGGCATTGGTTGACCCTCTCGGATCGCCCATCTGTTTGAGGGTGATAATAAGCGTCTTGAGGTGGAGTTGAATCTTGTATTTGGTGAATAGTTGTTTCCAAAAGTTGCTGACAAAAATTGGATCTCTGTCAGTTGTGATGGACAGTGGGAATCCATGGAGCTTAACTATATTGTCCAAGAATGTTTGAGCTATAGTAGCTGCTGAGTATGGGTGTTTGAGGGCTAGAAAGTGGGCATACTTTGTCAATCAGTCTACAATGACCGGGATGACACTTTGAAACCCTCTCGATTTGGGGAGACCTTCTATGAAATCCATGGTGAGATCTTGCCGGACCCCTTTAGGTGTTGGTAATGGTTGGAGCAGAGCCCATTGGATCTTTGCGAGGAGTGTTTAGCATGTTGGCAGATGTTACACTGCTTGACAAAGTTTTCTACATCAGTTTTCATGCCCTTCCAGGAGAAATGCTTCTTCAGTCGGTAATAAGTTGCTTTGCTACTCTGAATGTCCTCCAAGTGCACTTTGGAATGAGAGTGTGCAATTAGCTTTGTCTGCAGAGTGAGTTATTACCTATCCGACTTTGCCATTGTGCGGATGAGACCTTTATCCAAACTATACCCTTGGTTGTGCGGATTTGGTGATGGAGAGCTTCAAATGAGAGTTTGAGCATGGCTATCTCTGTGGCATAGGAATTGAGAACCTCCTGTACCCATGTTGGTTGCCTTTGTTGAAACAGCTTGTATGGCCATGAGATGGCCAACTCTGGATAAGGCATCTGCTTTGCTTGGTTGTCTTTTCCTTTTTTGTACACTATCCTGAAATTGAGGCCCATCGGTCTTGTCATTGCCTTCCTCTGCATGTCGAAATGGAGGTTACGGTCTTTGAGAAAGGCTAAGGACTTGTGATCGGTTTGGATTGTGAACTCGCCTCTCTCTAGGTAGTGTCTCCACTTGTCGGCAGACCATGATCGGGGCTAGGAATTCCTTTTCATATATGGAAAGGGCTTTGTGTTTTCCCCGAGCTTTGCTCGGTAGGCAACCTGTTGGCCCTTTTGCATAAGGACAGCCCCTATACCATCCATACATGCATCTGTTTCCACTTTGTAAAGGTTTCTCGAAATTTGGTACTTGCTAGTACCGGTGTTTGATCATTACTGTTTGAGAGCATGGAATCTTGTTGGGCTTCTTGGATTCGAAGCAAATGACTTGAGTTTCAAGATTTGAGTCGATGGTTTAGCCAAATGTACCATAACCTTTGACAAATCGTCTATAGTATCCTGTCAGACCCAGAAAGCCTCTCAATTCAGTCATTGTAGTTGGTGTTGGCCACTTGAGCATATCAGAGATTTTGCTAGGATCAGTGGACACTCCGCTAGCAGAAATGATGTGGCCTAGGTATTCCAATCTATCCCGAGCAAAGGTACATTTGGACCGTTTTGAGGTGTAGGTGATGCTTCCTTAGTGTTTGCAACACTTGCTCCAAGTGGTGAAGATGCAGAGTCCATTGATGGGCTATATATCAAGATGTCATCCGAAAAGACCAATACAAATTTTCTCGAGAAAGGGTTTCAATACTTCGTTCATGACACATTGGAAGGTTCTTTGGAGCATTGGTTAAGCCAAAGGGCATGACCACTGAATCGGTAGTGCCCTTGATGTGTTTTTTTGAATCTTGTCTTGTACTCATCTTCCGGAAGCATTCGAATTTGGTGATAGCCAGACCTTCATGTCTAACTTGGTGAACACTGTGGGATCCCGAAAGTTCATCTAAGATCTCTTCAATCAACGGCATAGGGAATCTATTCTTGATAGTCATGTCATTGAGCTTCCTATAGTCAACACAAAATCGCCAAGTTCCATCCTTTTTTTTGACAAGGAGGACTGGGGAAGCAAATGGGCTATGGCTATGTGTAATAAGGCCTGCCTGGAGGAGCTCTGTTACTTGTTGTTCGATTTCTGTCTTG